GCGGGCTCGAGACCCGCCTGGGCAACTTGGCGAGACCTCATCTCTATAATAAATCAAAAACTAGCCAGGCGTAGTAGCGCGCACCTGTTGTTCCAGCTACTTGGAAGGCAGAGGCGGAAGGATCGCCAGAGCCCAACAAGTGGAGGCTGCGGTGGCTGGGAGCGGCCACTGCACTCCAGTCTGGGCAACAGAGTGAGACTCCAACTCAAAAAAAAAAAATTTTTTTTAAAGAAAAAAAAGAAAACAATGAGCAAAGAATATGAGCAGTCAATGCACAGAAGAAAAAAACCAAATGGTCAATCAATAGGTAAGATATTCAACCTCATCAATAATTAGGGAAATTGAAATAAAAACAACGAGCTATCCCCTGAGGGAATCAGGACATATTTTGGCAGAAACATAGGTGCCAAATTGTTACAGGCAGGCTCTGTGTGCCCAGGTGATCAGATGCCCCAAGAAGTTTGATTCAATGCTGAGGCAAGTCTTCAGGGAGAGGCTTTCTCCATAGTGCAAGGCAAGGGCCGGCCTATGTGTGTTCTCTGATGTTCTGTGAGGTGTGCTTTCCGGCAGAAAGCTTTCCCGCATTCTTGACATTCAAAGGGTCTCTCACCTGTGTGAACTCGTTGATGTTCAATGAGGCGTACTTTCACATAGAAGGCATTGCCACATTCACTACATTCATAAGGTTTCTCTCCTGTGTGAGTTCTCTGGTGTTGACAGAGGGATTTCTTCATACTGAAGATTTTCCCACATTCACTACATTCATAGGGTTTCTCTCCTGAATGCATTCTCTGATGTTCAATGAGGCGTGCTTTCACATAGAAGGCATTGCCACACTCATTACATTCATAAGGTTTCTCTCCTGTGTGAATTCTCTGATGGATCCCAAGAGATGAGTGCACCCTGAAAGATTTCCCACATTCATTACACTGATAGGGCTTTTCACCTGTGTGAGTTCTCTGATGATTATTGAGAGTCATCTTCATTCGGAAGAATTTGCCACATTCAGCACACTCATAGGGTTTCTCACCTGTGTGAATTCTTTGATGTTGATTTAGGGATTTCTTTGCTCGGAAGTTTTTCCCACACTCCCCACATTCATAGGGTTTCTCCCCCGTGTGAGTTCTGTGGTGTTGCGTAAGGGATATCTTTACACGAAATGTTTTCCCACATTCACTACATTCATAGGGTTTCTCCCCCGTGTGAGTTCTCTGATGAATCGTGAGGGTTGCCTTCTCAGAAAAGGTTTTCCCACACTCAGTACATTCATAGGGTCTCTCTCCTGTGTGTGTTCGCCTATGTAGAATGAGTTGTGACTTCCTGCCAAAAGATTTTCCACATTCGTTACATTCAAAGGGCTTCTCTCCCGTGTGAGTTTTCTGATGAGCAATGAGGTATGATCTTGCACTGAAGGTTTTTGCACATTCACCACATTCATAGGGTTTCTCCCCTGTGTGTATTCTCAGATGTTCAACAAGGTTTGATTTCCTACAATAAGCTTTCCCACATTCATGACATTCAAAGTTTTTATCCCCTGTGTGTGTTCTTTTATGTCTAACAAAGTCAGTTTTCTCATGGAAGCCTTTCCCACATCCATTATATTCAATATTTAGACCCAAAGTTTGAATCTTCTGATGCTGAAGAAGGTTGTTATCATGTCTGAGGGCATTATCCCCAACAGAACTGCTGCCACACAGCAGTGAGAGCGATCCTTTAAAAATAAATCAGAATATGTCACTCTTTCACATAAAACCCCAAACCAGCCTCCCTTGTCACAGTATAAAATTAAACTCCTTACAAAGCCTTTACGAACCTAAATAACCTGGCCTCCTGCTAACTCTCTGATATCACCTCTTAACATTCTCACCCTGGCCTCTTTTCTAGTCTTAGGATGTATCACTCAGACTAGGCTTGGGACTTCCAGTTCTCTCTGCCCAGAATACGAAAAATCTACATGGCTCTGATTCTTTTACTTCACTGATGTTTGTGAACTAACGTTAATCTCACCAAAAAGCTATCCCTGACCACATTCCCTAAAAATGTACATCACTATCTTTCTTAACTTGCACTGATTTTATTTTCACCACCAAACATATTATGTATTTGGTTCTGGTCACTTTCTCTCACTATATTGCAAGCTCCAAGAGACCAAAGGAATGATTTTATTCACTGCTGGATCCCCACAATTAGAATGTGATCAGCATATAGTTGAAACTCATTTAAAGTGTGGTGAATGAGCCAGGCTCGGTGGCTCAGCCTGTAATCCCAGCGCTTTGGGAGGCTGAAGTGAGTGGATTGCCTGAGCCCACGGGTTCGAGACCCGCCTGGGCAACTTGATGAGACCTCATCTCTACAATCAATCAAAAACTAGACGGGCATGGCAGCGCACGCCTGTAGTTCCAGCTACTTGGAAGGCTGAGGTGGAAGGATCGCGGAGCCCAGCAGGTCTAGGCAGCGGTGACCGGGAGCGGCCACTGCACTTCAGTCTGGGCGACAGAGTGAGACTCCAACTCAAAAATAAATAAATAAATAAAATAAATCGACAAGTTCAAAATCTGTTTAAAAAAATAAAAAATAAAGTGTGGTGGATGACTAAATGAATGTATAAATGAACAAATACCTGACAAGAAAAGGCAATAGAGGGAAGAATAAATGTCTAAGCTGAGGCAGAGATAAATAAGAAATGGTAAATAATTTACAAAAATCAAGATAAAACAGGAGAGAGCATTAAAGTCCGAGTATGTGATATTAAGATGTACGATTTTAAGCCGGGTTTGGTGGCTCAGTCTGTAATCCCGCACCTCTGGGAGGCTGAGGTGAGTGGATTGCCTGAGCCCGCGGGTTCGAGACCCGCCTCGGCAACTTGGCGAAACCTCATCTCTACAATAAATCAAAAAATTAGCCGGGTGTGGTAGCGTGTGCCTGTAATTCCGGCTACTCGGAAGGCTGAGGCGGAAGGATTGCCGGAGCCCAGCAGGTGGAGGCTGCGGTGGCCAGAAACGGCCACTGCACTCCAGTCTGGGCAACAGAGTGAGACTCCCACTCAAAAAAAAAAAAAAAAAGATGTCCAATTTTGGTATCTGAAGGGTGTAGATCTTCTGCCCTTATTTTCTTTTTCTGTTTGTTTGTTTTTGTTTTTTTGAGTTGGAGTCTCGCTGCCCAGGCGGATCTCAAACCCATGGGCTCAGGCAATCCACTCACCTCAGCATCCCAAAGGCGTGGGATTACAGGCTGAGCCACCAAACCTGGCTTGCCCTTATTTTCAAAGAGGTAGGGGCTCTAAAAAGAGATTCCTGGAAAAGGCTGCACAAGGACCACCTATGACCCGAATTTCTAGGATCTTATTTCCCCTATTTTCCATATGTCTCGTTCTTGCTCACTCACCTGAGTAACCATGGCCTGAGGATTCCTCCTCTAATACCCACAGTTCTTCTCCTCGCTCCAACTTGAAGATCATCTCTGGTTTGGCCACGCAGAGGCCTGTTAATAGGAAATGGCACAGGACGTGGGCCAAGTTGTCTGAGCTTTAGGGGGCCTCTGATGGAGGAGGAAGGTGCATCTTCATGAGCTGCACAAGGAAGGGGGCCCATTTAAACCTTTTATTGGGGAAGTGAGAGCACACACATTCTTCCTGGTGCCCTAAACTGATCAGTCATCTGTGACCCTTCAATCTGATACTAAAATATCACTACGCTCTACAGAGGCTGCACACTTTATAGCAGCCAAGCAAGAGTTACACAGACAATCATCCTCACCCACAGATGCCAGGTTGCTATAGGTCTCCAGCATCACATCTTTGTGCATGGTCCTCTGGGCAGGGTCTAGTCTGTGCCACTCCTGTCGGGTGAAATCCACAGCCACATCTTCGAATGACACGGATTCCTGTAACAACAATCTACAATGATCAGAATGGGACACATGAAAGGATGTGTAGGGACTAATCATCTCAATGGAGCCGTGTTGAGAGTAGACTAGAAAGGGCTACAATGGATACCTGCCTCTGTGTCTTGCTTGATATTATACTTTCTGGGGTGGGGGGGGCAGGGAATACTGAATAGCCTTACTACTGTGTTAATTTATTGATTCATAAAGAAAAGACTATTAACCTACTGATTTAATACTATGTGCCTGGACCTATGCAAGTTGATGGGGAAACAAAAATGAAGAATCCGGCTGGGCTCGGTGGCTCAGTCTGTAATCCCAGCACTTTGAGAGGCTGAGGCAAGTAGATTACCTAAACCCACAGATTCAAGACCAGCCTGGGCAACTTGGCAAGACCTCATCTCTACAATAAATCAAAGAAGCCGGGCTCGGTGGCTCAGCCTGTAATCACGCACCTTTGGGAGGATGAGGTGAATGGATTGCCTGAGCCCGCAGGTTCGAGACCCGCCTGGGCAGTGAGACCTCATCTCTACAATAAATCAAAAAATCAGTCGGGCGTGGTAGCGCATGCCTGTAATTCCGGCTACTTGGAAGGCTGAGGCAGAAGGATCGCCAGAGCCCAGCAGGTCGAGGCTGCGGTGGCCGGGAGCGGCCACTGCACTCCAGTCTGGGTGACAGAGTGAGACTCCAACTCAAAAAAACAAAAACAAAAACAAATAAATCAAAGAAAAATTAGCCAGGTGCTGTAGCATGTGCCTGTAGTTCCAGTTACTTGGAAGGCTGAGGCAGAAGGATCACCGGAGCCCAGGAGGTCAACACTGGGGTGGCCATGAGTGTGCCACTGCACTCTAGCCTGGGAAACAGAGTAAGACTCCAACTCAAAAAAAAGAGAATCCACAGAGCCTGCTAGCAAGGAGTTGATATGCAGGAGAGATGCTAGACCTGGGACAGGGCCCTGGAACTGGATTTCACAAGGAACGGAACTGAATTCCATTTGGTGCTATTAGACTGTACTTCACTTAGAGAGGTAGAGCTTTGAATCCTTCAACAAGAATATTGCTTCCCTCATGAATACAGACCAACAGCATGAAAGAAATAAAACACACGGCCACAGTGGCTCATGCCTATAATCCCAGCACTTTGGGAGGCCAAGATGAGAAGATTGCCTAAGCCACGGATTCGAGATCTACCTGGGTAACTTGGTGAGACCTCATCTCTATAATAAATCAAAAAATTAGCCAGGCATGGTGGCCCGTGCCTGTAGTTTCAGCTATTTGGAGGCTGAGGCGGAAGGATCACCTGAGCCCAACAGGTCGAGGCTGCAGTGGCCATGAGCGTGCCACTGCACTCCAGCCTGGGTAACAGAGTGAGACTCCAACTCAAAAAAGAAAGAAAGAAAGAAAACACATGGTGAGTTCATGAAACTACACACAGCACAATATGACAAGAAAATTGTGCTGCAGGCTGTAATGAGATAAAGGGCTATGGAGACATTCGGAAGCCCGCTAGTGGGAGGATTTTCCACTTTTTTCCTATAGATCATTAAATCTCCAAAATACTTGATCTCTTACATCATCAGAGTATTCCACAATACATTTCTATTTATAGTAGTACAGTCAAGTAGGAGAAAGGGAGAGAGTATTGAACCCAGGATAATTAAGCAGTGGGATCGAGGCTGGGGCCATATACTGAGACTAGCAAAACAGGAGAGATAATGAATTAGAGAAGGAAAACTTGAGACAGAGCTTAGAGAGCTTATGAAACATACTCATGGAGACGTCCAACTGGCACTCAGGAAAGACGGCTAGGGAGACAAAGATTTAGGAGGCAAGATCATTTCAGCACCTAGCTGAAGTCACCAGAATTAATTTCTAATTTACCTTGAGACTTGCATAGCCAAGAGAGAACACAATTGAAGAGAAGTACAAAGCCTGACTGGGCACAGTGGCTCACGCCTGTAATCCCAGCACTTTGGGAGGCCGAGGTGAGAGGATTGCCTGAGCCAATGGGTTTGAGACCAGTCCGGGCAATTGATGAGACCTCATCTCTACAATAAATCAAAAAATTAGCCAGGCATGGTGGCGCGTGCCTATAGTTCCAGCTCCTTGGAAGGCTGAGGCAGAAGGATCACCTGAGCTCAGCAGGTCAGGGCTGTGGTGGCCATGAGCGTGCCACTGCACTCCAGCCTGGGCAACAGAGTGAGACTCCAACTCAAAAAAAAAAAAAAAAGAAACCAAGAACAGAGTTTGAGGGAACAGACACCAATATGCCATGAAGACTAGGAAGCAAACTGCTGAATGATAGAAATAGAACCAGGAAAGTGTGGAGTCTTGGAAAGCAAGAGGGGAGACAGTTTCAAGTAGTAGTGCCATTTGCAGTTTAAAGCAATATAAAAAAGCACAACCGGCTGGGCGTGTTGGCTCACACCTATAGTTCTAGCACTTTAGCAGGCTAAGACAGAGGGATTACTTGAGCCCAGGAGTTCAAGACCAGTCCGGACAACATAGCGAGACCTCATCTCCACAAGAAAATTAGCTGGGTGTGGTGGTGCACAGCTGTAGTCCCAACTACTTGGGAGGCTGAGGTGGGAGGATTGTCTTAACCCAGGAGGTCAAGGCTATGATGAGCTGTGATCATGCCACTGCACTCCAACATAGGCAAGAATGAGACAGCAGCTCAAAGAATAAATAAATAAAAGAAAGAAACCATTTACCTTCTCTATCTCAAAAAACTAAAAGAAGACCTCTCTTTCTGGTCTCACAAACAAGAAGGGGGTCCCCTGTGGGACAGAGAGAATGGGAGAAATCCTGTCTTTTTTTTTTTCTCACGTAGTCCAACTCCCAAGGAAGCCTCATTCCCAAACTTGAAACTCTGCAGCAACAGGCACTCCAAACTCAAAGGGAAAGGAGTTATTTTCTTTAACCAGAGGAATAATGGTCGTATGAATGTTGGAAGGACTCCCATTGCTTTATTTCTGTCCTGCCACTGGTTGGCACCAAGGGCAAACCTAGTTAGGAAACTGAGTACCAGAGTGAAGAGACTAAAGCCCCAAATATCTAGCCAGAGGACAGGATGGAGGAGCCCCTGGGGCTGCAGTATGAGGGAGACTACACATAATAAACCAGTCTTCAAAATACATGAAGCAAAACTGCGGGAACTGGAGGATTCCACAATTATGGATGGAGACTTCAACATCTCTCTCAGTAATAAGAGGAACTAGCAGGCAAAAAATCAGCAAGGATATAGAAAAACTGAAGACCACCAATCAACCAACTGACTTTGTAGAACACTCCACTTGAAACCAGACAGAATAGACAGTTTCTTCAAGTACACGTGGAATATTCACTAAGCTAGGCCCATATCATGGATCATAAAACAAACCTCAAATATTTAAAATAACTGAAACCAATATATACTCTTTGACAATAATGAAATTAAACTAGAACTCAATAAGAAAGAGATACTTGGAAAATCCCTAAATATGTATTTGGAAACTAAAGAATACACTTTTAAATAATGTATGGTTCTAAAAAGAAGTCTCAAGATAAGTTAGAAATATTTTGAAGTGAAAGAAAATCAAAATACAACATATCAATCAATATTTGTGGGATACAGTTAAAGTAGTGCTGAGATTCCAGAAGGGAACCTCTACATTAAAAAAAAAAAAAGGCCGGGCTCAGTGGCTCAGCCTGTAATCCCAGCAGTTTGGGAGGCCGAGGTGAGTGGATTGCCTGAGCCCATAGGTTCGAGACCAACCCGGGCAACTTGGCAAGACCTCATCTCTACAATAAATCAAAAATTAGCTGGGTGTGGTAGCACACACCTATAGTTCCAGCTACTTGGAAGGCTGAAGTGGAAGGATCGCAGGAGCCCAGCAGGACAACACTAGGGTGGCCATGAGTGTGCCACTGTACTCTAGTCTGGGCGACAGAGTGAGACTCCAACTCAAAAAGAAAAAAAAAAAACAACTGGGAACTGAAGGGAACTTACTTAACCTGACAGAGCTGATAGAATATTTACCAAAAGCCTATAGTTAAAATCATATAGAATGAAAAAGACTGAATGCTTTCCCTGAAGATTGGGAACAAGGCAAGAGATATTCACTTTTACCAATCCTATTCTAAATCACACTGGAAGTCCTACTTGGTGAAATCAGGCAAGAAAAGGAAATAAAAGGCACATAATAGATTGGAGAAGAAGAAATAAAACTGTCCCTATTGTCATACAACATGATTGTCTATGTAGAAAATCTGAAGCAATCTATGAAGAAGCTGTTGGCAAGACTACAGGATAAAAAGTCAACATATAAAAGTCAATCATATTTCTATACGCAAGTAATCTACAATTGGATATTGAATTTTTAAAAACTATACCACATACAGAAAATTAAATATGTAGATATACATCTAAAAACATGTACATATTCATAGAATGAAAAACTAAAAATATCAGAAAATGCAAAAAAAAAAAAAGACTTTATGCTGATGAAAATCACCCCCCCCAAAAAAAACAACCAGGAAGATGAAAAAAAAAACAAATCAAATATTCTCACATAGCCAGGCTCGGTGGCTCAGCCTGTAATCCCGCGCCTTTGGGAGGCTGAGGTGAGTGGATTGCCCGAGCCCATGAGTTCGATACTCGCCTGGGCAGGCGAGATCTCATCTCTACAATAAAAAAGAAAAATTACCCAGGCGTGGTAGAGTGCGCCTGTAGTTCCAGCTACTTGGAAGGCTGAGGTGGAAGGATCGCCAGAGCCCAGCAGGTCGAGGCTGCGGTGGCCGGGAGCGGCCACTGCACTCCAGTCTGGGCGACAGTGAGACTCCACCTCAAAAGAAAAAAATATATATATATCCTCACATAAGCATATGAAGATAAGAAAAACACCTTGAAGCAGATACGTAAAAGCTAAGAACAGAAATGGACAAAAAGTAGAAGAAATGAGAATCAAGTGAACTCAGAAAGAAATAAAAGAGAACAAACAAATCATAGCAGAAAGAAATGCAAAATGACATGTTGTGCAAGGGAGAAGAAATTCAAATAAAAGCTAAATAAAGTTAACTGAA